GGGGGTGCAACACCCCTGATAATTGCTCATGAGGAATTTCAGGTAGATTTCCAGTGCACTGTTAGGTAAATTTAAGTAGATTTACAGAAGATTTTCAGGGGAATTCAGGTAATTCTCAGGACATGAGAAAGTGAATTTGGAAAACAACTGTATTTTCGGAAAAATTATTATATGTCCTGAAAATTTTTTGTACATCTAGAAACATTTTGATAACCACCTCCCCCCCTCTATCTAACCTCACACACACCCTGAGACGAAGTGCTCGCAACGGCACTGAGTATACATCTTTTGAAAACAGGCGAGGGGTTATTGCATGCATGTATTTCTAGTATAGTATATATGTTAGTTGTATTAACATTGAACTTCTTTCTGTTTGAACCCAAATTTGTACTTGTTTTGCGTTTGACAAGGCTGTCAAGCTCGCGACGATTGGCTTTTTATACCTCAGCGGCTCAGGCATAATTGCAGATTTAGCGTGTCAAATGTCTTCTTGTTTGTGTCAAGATTATAATATTCTATTGCTGTTCAAACGAGATATTCTTTTCACTGGAAACGTAGAGTACATTTTACTTTGTCTTTGTCAAAAGCAAAAAAATTATAAAGATTAAACAGGCATTCAAAAATGTACAACAACCACGAACATCTCGTAATATTTCTTCGGGGAAATCTTCAAGTTTCAATGGAAATCTGGCGCATGCGCAACAAATTTCCCAGCTGTTCTAATCCACTCTAAACTTCCCAAACCTACAGCGCTGTTAAAAACTAACTCAATCCACTATCCTGAGCAGCAATCCAGACCTAACCCAATCCCCACCGGAATTTTAACCCCAAATCACATTCCAAACCCGTGTACACCCCATCAACTAACCCTCCCAACTAAGTCACCCTAATCCCATCCCAACACCTCACATCTCAGTCCCCCCCCCGACGTAATTGTAGAACCCCTCGCCCACTAAGAATTCCTTTTCGCCTTGCCTGCACGCAAAGTACGCTACACGACATCTATCAGTAAGTCAATTTCATTTTTACATTCCGTAACCATAAATTACCACATTACGCATGAGATTCTTATCATTTTCACCCATTACAAAGAACACATACCAAATTCAACCAATTTTCACACTGTTCCTAGGCGAAATAATCAACAGATTTTTTCGCGCAAGCACATGTCACACATGTATAATTCATATAAACGGGAACAGAAATGAATATTTATATGCGGGCACGTAGTTCCAAGACCAGCTAGCGGGGTCGAAACGTGCTTTCCCGGTTAATTCTTGGAGCCTGGTGAGAACATAACCTTGGTTTTGAACACAAAACACATGGGACTTGGCCTGGGTGGCGATACACTGGCATTCACCCAGGTCTTGGCAATATCACAATACATCACATTAACGCACCCGGGTTATGCCTGCGCGATCATCACAAGAACAATCAATCAAGTCGATACACAACGCAGTTTTACTATTCATGTATCAATTTAGCTTAAATGTTCAGACTTTTGTATCACTTATACCATTTTACAATTTATATATCACCAGTATCATCACTGTTTATCTACATTATAAATCAAGCTTCACCAACATCATCACAGTCCATGCATCATCATAACATAATTCACTAGAATCATCAGTATCCACACCATTCCAACTCTATATCAGTCACATTGAATCAAAATTTCATTTCACTCCACACACCATTTGATGTTTACCCAATAAAATGTCCCAACAGGTCAGCAGGGCCATTCCACAGCATTCCAGGATCTGAATACCTGCAACCACCTTTTTGATCCAATTCCAAAAGAAAAACAAACAAAAAATTAACTCACCAAGTATTAAATTATCGCATGCAGAACAATATGTTGCATAAGTATAATAATAATTGCGCTTATATGATACCATTTCAAAATTCCAAGATTCCAAGATTCCAGATTCCATGTTTTACAGCTTACCACAAATTTATATGTTTAATTAAAAGTAATAAACACTATGCATGTTAAAAAAAACACTCATAAATTAATTGAGATGACGCTGTTAGCATTCTGAAAGCATATATTACGTCGTTTGCGTCTTATTAAACGTATGCAGGCATGTGAAATTAAATGTGCTTGCTAAATCAAACGCCGTTAATATTATACATCTTGGTTTCAAAGTGAGTTGAAATGATGCCTTATCCAGTCTATATAGTTTATGAATCAGCCATCATATGTCGTTGCGCTTTCCAAAATTTGTACGCTGCATGTGTGGCTGATCCACTTGAATTTTAATAAAATTTTGAAAGATTTATTAGTAAATTCAATTTTTACCTTTTAAATTTATTTACATTACAACAAAACTTATTATATTTTCAATATACGCGTTTTCTGTACCACATCAGTTTCTATTAAACATTAGCGATTGATGTATTAAATCTTCTTGCTTAAAAAATGTTCCACACCGGGTTAAAATATCTTCCAATATATTTCACGCTTTCTGCAGGTGTTGTGTCGCATTTGTTACTTTTCATTTGCTTGCTAAAAGATCCTCTGAAATGTTTCAGGAATTCCGCAACTTATCTCATCGCGAATTTAGCTTTGTCTGACTTCATTACGTGTTCAGCTGGCTTAATACGAATGACTTGGAAATTCTCAACTACAATTTTCCATGTATGGAATACAGCTTTGTTGGTATCACTGTTATCTATATTCTCAATCGCAATTGATCGCTATGTGTTGACAGTACATCCATTTAAACATCGTATGCTTTTAAATGGAAGAAGAATCGCTATTTGGATTGTTTCAATATGGCTTCTAAGCTCCTGGATGTTGGTAAGAGGTCTTGCATTTGGCACCAGCCAAACAGACACTCAAATATACGATACAATATTTATTGTAATTCCTTTGGTAACTGGTTTGATATACGTATTGACATGTTTTTCCTTGAGAAAGCAGGGGCAGAACATATCTGAGCTAAATCGATCGCGAAATCTGGCCTTACAAGAGCAGTTTTTGAAGACGATTATCATTGTGGCGTTTATCCAAATTTTCACAATGGTTCCGTTAAATATCTTTACTTTGGTTCATGGCTGGTCGAATAGTTTTAATTCAGTTTTAAAATTGGTCATTTATCCAATGTTCTTTTTAAACTTTGCAATAAATCCTTTCTTGTATATATGGAGGCTTAGGAACTATCGACAAACATTTCGTTTGGTTTTTTGTACGAAATTGTGTTAGTTATAGAAACTCGTATTCGGCAGCTGGGAAGTGTATTAAATATATAATATATTTAAAGAAGTCACCGTTCAGATTCAAAGCGATATGCATGGAATAGAGCAAACTTGGGTACAGTTAGGCTACGATCACGAAACCACTCCAGATTATTCAGAAGTAGCCTGAAACTACAATTGTCTCGAACATTTTTATGTAAATTATTAATAAGTAATAGCATGATGGTTTCTCGTGAAATTTGGATAAACATACGCTCATGAATTTTTCAAAGACCTCAGATAGCACTCGTCCTTCCAACTCGTGAGGTCTTTGAAAAACTCACTCGTGCATGTTATATCCAAATTGCACTCGAAACCATGCAATTACCTATACTAAACAGAACGCACAAATTACAATTAGAAATACAATTTCAATTTTCAATGACATTTAACTTCAATATTTTTCTATGTTTTTCAAATATTCGGAACCATTTAAGCAATTTTAGCTATTTGATCTGCATATCTAGTAAAATTTTTATCCGTTGACTGTTTTTAAAAACTGAAAATGTAACAGCAATTCCTCGCCTGTATACATTTTCCAAACACATGGTGTATTAGCAACTGGAGAGCATTGTGAATTCCTTTGCCATGGCTCTCATAGGAGGACTCTTCACAATAAACTGGCCTCCAACAACTCAGAAATCGGAGAGACAGCCTTTCAGACAAACTAATTGAAGAAATAGTGACTGATATAGCCATAAGCTTTATAATCTTCTTCCACCACGTAATGAAACTGTTAATTAATATGACTTTTAAGGTCCATACAGACCGGACGCGATTTGGCAACGCGAGGCGAATTTTCAATTTTCAATGACATTTAACTTCAATATTTTTCTATGTTTTTCAAATATTCGGAACCACTTAAGCAATTTTAGCTATTTGATCTGCATATCTTGTAAAATTTTTATCCGTTGACGGTTTTAATTGTTTTTAAAGACTGAAAATTCGCGTCGCGTTGTCCGGCGAATCGCGTTCGGTCTGTATGGACCTTTAGATCCAGTCAGTAGCATTTCAAACGGACCGTTTTAAAAATAGTTTTATTATACACAATGCTTTAAATTATTCGTCGTAAAATTGTTAGAATATTCTTAGATCTTTTTAGAGACATTTTAGTGTATAGTGTTTTAATATTTTCTTAACTTATAAATATAAGCGTAATTCAGCCTATTAGCTGCAATGTGTGTATGAAATAAACCATCTACCTAGTATTTATTTATCTATACTATACATCTTCCAATTTTTTATGTATGTTTAGGGAAAGTACATTTATAATGCCGGGGGGGGGGGAGGGAGGTATGAAGATGTCTTGAAAAAAGCTCATATTTTGACATGGCCCGGCCCTGTTGAGGTTATTGGTTTTAATTTTCAATGCCCCCCCCCCGCCCCCAATATGGAATAGAGGAGTGCAATCCAGAATTCTCTCTTATCGCAGATACAACTTGGTGTTCCTGAAGATGTCTGATTTACTCAAGCACGTGCTTCTCCTCAACAAAAATACCGACATGCTGCTTCTTTCACCTCACTATTGGCAGATGAAATGGGCTATTCCATTTAATATAGGCACCCCCCCCCCCCCCTTTTGGGGGGTCTGGAAATCCTATGGGAGGGGAGGGGGTTTTATTTATCCTTATCCTAAAGGGGTATAAAGAAATCCTTTGGGTAACTTAAGGGGATTATGAAGGGACTTCTCAATAGGGGGGAGGGAGGTTCCTTTATTAAATGGAATGACCCAATTGCACCGTCTTTAAAAACCCGTTTTATGTTGGCTCTAGGGGCAAAATCATCAACAGGATGTTGTTGTTCATTATTCAGCGTACTTGCCGTCTTGAACACGTTCATATAGTGGCCGGAATTTCCTGGATCAGGGTTATGTCCTGGAACCCTAGAGAACCTCCACCCCACCCAACGTATCTCCTGGCATCTGTTGCAAATTTCTTTCCATGCCTGTCAAAACTACATGCAAAATCGCCAATATGCTTCAACTTCTTTAATTTTTATCCCGTTTCTACTAAATTTCCCATTAGTAAGGCGGATATGTGTAAAATTATTGATCAGTAGTTCCCTTTTTTTAAAGCATCAAACTTTTATAATTGATTTAGTTTTATTTGCTTAAGGTGGCTCCCTACTGTTATAGTCCAATTTAAAACATTTATATAGCTCAGACGTCATCCTCGCGACTCGCGCGTGGAATCTTCGTGGCCCGCCGGCCCGGTAAAAATCTTGAAACAAGCCGCGGGAAGTTGTTTTTGTATTTTTATCTACAAAGAAAACGCCAGTTTTTTATTATAATCCTAAACGTTTCAACATTCGAACAGTACGTATGTTGTTAGCTAGTTTTTTGCCTACCTTCAGTGTGTTTTTTTTTATATATTTAATACGTTCAGTACTGTATTTCATAATGCTCACAATGTTCAACAGCAGTGTCACGGACTGAAATGATATTTTATACAGTCTTCAAGGCACTCCTAAACTATCACTGAAACTTACGTAAATCCTGTCATTCAACTCAGTTCACATGTAGTTTTTTATCTGCTGAATCCAATAAAACTAAAATGCAGACAGTTACGAGTTGTTTTATACGAAAAGTCAAACTCTACTTGAATGTTTTGGAAAGTTTTCACACCGATTTTCACAACAAAACTAAATTTAAGAAACGTTGAATTAAGTCAGTGCGTTATTGTGTTCTCAATTTTTCGTATTTTGAACAAGTATATATCTTTTATTTTCATTTCAAATAAGTAAAAAATATCTGTGTGATACATATAAGTCAAAAACTCAAAGTGAAAATTGCTAAAAAAGCCAACATAAACCGTAAGCGTTTCGTATTCCTCACGCATTATAATTTACACGCATGCGCAAATAGTGATCATGTCGAATCGATATTTTGTCACGTCGACAGCTTCAACTGGATTTAGGACTATTTTCCTCGCGTTTCCTTCGGTGAAATTTTTTTAAACTTTGCACGTTTGCTAAGCATGACGATTCGCCAAACATATCAAAATTTCAAGAAATTCTATAAGACAATTTTTTTGTAGTCGTTATTCATGAATATCTCAAAACCTGCCTCATAAACATTCCTTCAAATTTTAATATGTCATTCCTCTTTCAACCATGAATCTTAAAAAAAAAATCAGAAAAATTCACCGAAGGCAAAAAAAATATTGCCGTTTGATTGTAAAATTAGACAATAAAAATGCAAAAGATGAAACATCATGGTTGCCATGGCAACAATAACACTGTTCCTATTTGTTCATAT